CCGCAAGACTCCCTCCCTGGCTGGGCCGAGACATGTGCCGTTACATGACAATCATCACGAGGCTCGGGAAAGGTTCGGTTCCTAGGTTCCCAGGCTCCCAGGTAGAATAGTTCGTTGGGTTGCCAAGCTCAGTCTGTTACCCTCAGTCAGGGAGTCTGTGTTCGGCAGAACTTTGAATTGCTCCGCTGGCAACCCAGCTCCCTGGGCTGATAAAATATAATAGTTCCGTGGAGTCCTCATCGTCATCATCTGTCATCAATGTCATCAGGTTCCCAGGCCCGTTCAAGGTTCATGGGCCGCAACATCATCATCACCATCATCAGTCATCAATGTCATCAGGTTCCCAGGCCCGTTCAAGGTTCATGGGCCGCAACATCATCATCACCATCACCATCATCATCTTCAGTCATCAGTCGAGGTTTCCAGGCCCAGAGGGCCCAGAGGATATGCGTGCCACGGGCTTGTAGAGTTGACTTGCAAGTTGTAGTCCAGCCGGATTGGTCTGAGAGTTGAAGGTTTCACAAGGTTGCTGGGTTCTAACACTCTTTGCCTGTTAGCCTGTTCCCAGACACGGGCTGCAGGAGAGCGTGTCGAAGCTCGAGGTGTTCTCCTGCCAGCCCGTGTGGTATCGGCTTCCAGGTTCAGCTCGGCAACCGCAAATGATTAAATTTATTAAGTTTCTCCTAACCAGTCCGGCTTCGCGACTGTTGCCGAATTCATCTGCGGCTGAAGATCTGCCGCAAGACTCCCTCCCTGGCTGGGCCGAGACATGTGCCGTTACATGACAATCATCACGAGGCTCGGGAAAGGTTCGGTTCCTAGGTTCCCAGGCTCCCAGGTAGAATAGTTCGTTGGGTTGCCAGGCTCAGTCTGTTACCCTCAGTCAGGGAGTCTGTGTTCGACAGAACTTTGAATTGCTCCGCTGGCAACCCAGCTCCCTGGGCTGATAAAATATAATAATAAAAATTTAATCATGAATTTTGAAGCATGTTCCGTGGAGTCCTCATCGTCATCATCTGTCATCAATGTCATCAGGTTCCCAGGCCCGTTCAAGGTTCATGGGCCGCAACATCATCATCACCATCATCAGTCATCAATGTCATCAGGTTCCCAGGCCCGTTCAAGGTTCATGGGCGGCCGCAACATCATCATCACCATCACCATCATCATCTTCAGTCATCAGTCGAGGTTTCCAGGCCCAGAGGGCCCAGAGGATATGCGTGCCACGGGCTTGTAGAGTTGACTTGCAAGTTGTAGTCCAGCCGGATTGGTCTGAGAGTTTAGGTTTCACAAGGTTGCTGGGTTCTAACACTCTTTGCCTGTTTGCCTGTTCCCAGACACGGGCTGCAGGAGAGCGTGTCGAAGCTCGGCATGTTCTCCTTCAGCCCGTGTCGTATCGGCTTCCAGGTTCAGCTCGGCAATCGCAAATGAAATTAATTAAGTTTCTCCTAACCAGTCCGGCTTCGCGACTGTTGCCGAATTCATCTGCGGCTGAAGATCTGCCGCAAGACTCCCTCCCTGGCTGGGCTGAGACATGTGCCGTGACATGACAATCATCACGAGGCTCGGGAAAGGTTCGGTTCCTAGGTTCCCAGGCTCCCAGGTAGAATAGCTGGGCTGAGACCTGTGCCGTGGCATGACAGTCATCATCGAGGCTAATAGCATGCCCCGTGGAGTCCTCATCGTCATCATCTGTCATCAATGTCATCAGGTTCCCAGGCCCGTTCAAGGTTCATGGGCCACAACATCATCAGTCATCAATGTCATCAGGTTCCCAGGCCCGTCCAAGGTTCATGGGCCGCAACATCATCATCACCATCATCATCATCAGTCATCAGTCATATGCGAGGCTTCCAGGCCCAGGGGGCCCAGAGGATATGCGTGCCACGGGCTTGTAGAGTTGACTTGCAAGTTGTCTGTAGTCCAGCCGGATTGGTCTGAGAGTTTCTAAAAGGTTGCTGGAGACTAACACTCTTTGCCTGTTTGCCTGTTCCCAGACACGGGCTGCAGGAGAGCGTGTGCAAGCTCGGCATGCTCTCAACCGCTACTCGGGAAGCCGGACTGGTTAGGAGAAACATCATCATAATATGATGATGCTGCTCCTCACCAGTCCGGCTTTGCGACTGTTGCCGAATGCATCTGCGGCTGAAGATCTGCCGCAAGACTCCCTCCCTGGCTGGGCTGAGACATGTGCCGTGACATGACAATCTGACAATCATCACGAGGCTCGGCAAAGGTTCGGTTCCTAGGTTCCCAGGCTCCCAGGTAGAATAGTTCGTTGGGTTGTCAGGCTCAGCACAGGTCTCAGCCCAGGGAGCTGGGTTGCTTGCGGCGAGTCTTGTTCCGTCGCAGATTCAGTCGAACACAGACTCCCTGACTGAGGGTAACCAGTCATCATCGAGGCTTGGAAAATTAAGCATGCCCCGTGGAGTCCTCATCGTCATCATCTGTCATCAATGTCATCAGGTTCCGAGGCTTGTTCAAGGTTCATGGGCCGCAACATCATCATCACCATCATCATCATCAGTCATCATCATATGCGAGGCTCCCAGGCCCAGATCCCTTAAAATTTTTCGGGAGGGTCGACGCACACACCAAGTTTTTAAGGACTTATATGAAGAAATCATATCAGGGAACCCTAAAAAGGTAGGTTCCTTACCCTTAGTATAGCTATTATATACCCATTATATAGCCCATAATTATAGGGTAGGGGTCCCCATTCAGGGTCCCTGCTTTTCCCCTAAACCCCCTAAACCCCCTAAATCCCCAAACCTCTAAACCCTAAACCCTATACCCTTATAGAATCCCTACGGATCCCTTTAAAGGGACCCTTAAAGGGTCCCTCCTTTTCCCCTTAAATCCTTGAACCTGGCGACATTGATCTTCCAAGTTCGGGCGGCCGGGCTTTGCGTCCATCTGAGGTACTTACTTGGAGGGTCGGGGGGCTTAGTAGGTAGGTTATAAGTAGACTTATAAGTGCCTTAAAAGGGACCCTAATTGGGGTTATGGTACTTATAAGTCTCTAAAATAGCTACTTACTTAGTCCCCTGACCCTCCAAGTAGGGCTTGCATACTCAGAGACTCCAATATCCCTTAATGAAGGAATTTTCCTTAAATAATAATAGGATCCCTAATATGATTTAAGGAATACTCCTTAATTAAGGGATATTGGAGTCTCTGGGTATTGGTTTCAGAAAATGCAGAGCCGCATTAACGCGCTCTAACCATTCCAATGAGATCCTTATTCTGGAGACACGTAGCATCGTTACCCCGAGCTTACTTGGAGGGTCGGGGGACTTAGTAAGTAGGTTATAAGTAGACTTATAAGTGCATTAAAAGGGACCCTAATTGGGGTTATGGTACTTATAAGTCTTTAAAATAGCTACTTACTAAGTCACCCGACCCTCCAAGTAAGCTTACGCGACCCACAGATGGGTTTTTGCTCTCAGGATGCTGGTCAGGTCAGAATCCTTCAGCTGAAGTAAGGTTCTGTTGAAGTAGGTACGTACCCTAAACCCCTAAACCCCTAAACCCCTACCCCAAACCCCCAAAGACCTGGAGCCTTAAACCCTTGACTCGGTACCAAGGAGGCACTCAGAGAGCCCCAGATCCCTTCATCTTAGTAGCTGAGTAGGTAATCCTTTACCTTTTGTTGGGCTGGGGAGCTCAGCCCCTAAGTAATTCAGGAATATGGCCTATAAATCTTAATATGAAGCCCCTGGTAATTTAGGGAATTTAGGGTTATTTTTGCAGTATTGAATGGGTATGTGGGCTCTCTGGGCAGTTTATTTAGGGCTTCTTGACTCCTCCAAATCGGCCCTAGGCCCAAAACTTCGTGTCTGCGATGGCTTCTAGGACCTTCCACCTTAAGCCTGAAGATATATAGGGTTTAGAGTTTGGGGTTTAGATTTTCGGGTTTGGGGTTTGGGGGGTTCAGAGCAAGCTTAGGGTTTAGGTGGAGACCCTAGTTACATGGGGGCCTTATGAATTAGAAGCTGAGGGCTTCAACTTGACACTACAGGGAACTCCAGAAAGTTGGAATATGGTTTCATGGTAGGATACCCTGTAATTTACCAAAGAAGGGTTAGGATAATCATATTCCAACTTTCTGGCTTTTACCTTAAAGACGTCTTCACCCGCCATGCTGCGTCTGGCTTGAGAAGAACCTAGAACCGAACAGTCTCATAAGCCCTACACCTTAACCCGGAATAACCTACCTTTTTAGGGACTTATGTAAGGAAACCAGAATAAGGAACCCTGAAAAGGTAGGTTATTCAGGGTTAAGGTACACCTTAAGCCCTCAAACTCTAGTTGTGATCTCCCGAAACCCGAAGCCCTTTGTGAACGACTTTTGATGTCAGCAACCCAAGCCTAAACCCTAAACCCTAAAGCCTAAACCCTAAACCCTTAACCCGAAAGGCTCTGAAGCCTTAGCCCTTCCTCCCCAGGTCCAAAGAACCCCCAGAGAGCCCAATACCCCTTAATTAAGGAATGCATCTGAAATCATAATATGAAGCCCCTAAAGAGTTAAGGTATATTCCTGAATATATCTTAAATCAGAATATGAAGCCCCTTTTGAGTTAAGGTATATTTCCTTACCCCCTAAACCCTAAACCCTATAGATCCCTCAAGGCCCTAGGTATTCCCTTAGCTAAGGGGGTACTGTTTAGCGAAAAGGGTTTAGGGTTTATGGAAAAGTTTTAGGGTTTAGGGAAAAGGTTTAGGGTTTAGGGAAAAGGGTTTAGGGTTTAGGGAAAAGGGTTTAGGCTTTAGGGAAAAGGGTTTAGGGTTTAGGGAGGGCTCTAACTGTTCCCACAGGCCCCAAACCCCTACCATTCTCCTCCACCCCGCCGTTTGCCCCCACGTGGAGGTTCATATGGAGAGTGTAGTTATAAGAGGGTTATACATCCTTTCATTTGGGTTGTAAGGGTATCCTTACTTATGACCGACTCATTATCCCTAAACCTATTATTATAACTACCGACGAACCTGCAAGCAAGGATTCCATTTATGGATACCGAACAGCGTCGCTCACTGGCTTCCCAGGCCGCTGGTGCTCTGCTTTTAAGGCTAGGGGTCAGGGTTTAGGGTTTTATGCTGGCTAGACTTGGGTCCAGTGGCAAAAGAGGGGTTCATGCTGCTGCTGTCGGCCAGGGCAGTTTGCCAGGACGTAGGGTTTAGGGTTCACGCATTTAGGGTTTTACAGGTTTTGCATGGGTTCTGTCAAGGGGGGTTCTTTGAGAAGGGGGCTGAGGGTTTCGGGGGTTTGCGGATCTCTTGAAGTTGGAAGTACCCTAATGTCGGAACCTGATTAAGAAACCCTGGGCCTATAACCCCAAAATAGTAGGATTTATCGAAGGAGCCCTAATAAAGGCCCAAGGTTTCTTAAATCAGGTTCCTACAGACCTACAATACAACAAAAGCATGTAGAACTGTAGTGTCTTCATAGTAAGGGTTTAGGCTCGTTTGCTGACGCTCACTAGCCGCTATCAACGAACTATGCCTCTCCAATCAATCGGTTAACTGCCACCGACGTCTTCTTAGCCACTCTTCCGCGTGCTGCTGCTGGTCTCAAAGCGAGAAACTCTGCTCAGAACAGAATGTGACAACCATGCTGATAACACTTGGGAGTTTCCGAATATTAGGGGTACCTCATTTGGGGGTCCTTAATAAAGATCCTACCATTCAGGGGTGCTATATTAGGGTCCCCTATTTCCAGAAACTCCCACTTCTTAAATCAAGACTTGATAAGGTCGATGACTGCCCTTTCCTGCGCTTGCGTGCCGTCAAGCTGGGACTGTCTTTTACACCTCTACCCCAGCTGTGTCAGCTGCTTTGCTGAATGAACTTGAAGAAAGTCAGAATTTAAAAGTCTGCACAACCAGGACAACGCAATGTAATATCGCGTGTGATATAAAATCTAGTCAGCAAGTTGCCCACATGTCGTAATGGATGACCTTGCAGCGGCTTCCTAGCAAAGTTTCCCAGCAGCGCTCGCTCAGCACACACATGCACCCTGAACGGAAAACCTTGACAACAGTGACGGCAAGGAGAGCCATTCTCATCAGGTTCATTCCGGCATCTAATAATATCTGGCACTTCCATTTCGCATTTCCCCTTTTCCAGCTATTTTACTTAGCCATCCCTCCTGCAGACCAGGTCGTGGTTTTGTAGCTTCATCAGCTTATATGGGTTGCACTGATTAAAGATACGCCGTGGGAGACCAGGCAACGTGGGATAGGGGCAGGGTTCTTGGCTGATGTTATCTGGTTTCGTTCGCTTGATTCTCCTTGTAGGTCGTCGACGCTTGGCTGGGCAGCGTGGATCGCGAGGCCCACTGGACAAACCACATCGATAGGCGTCGGCATTTGCGGATTCGGCCATAGAGGGCTTGGACTTGGTGTATGCATGTGTGATATTGTGTGATCACGTGAGTGTCTATACCCATTTGTTCACCACGCGTATATGCGTGTGCATATGTGTGTATATATATATATACACATGCATTCATGCACATGTGCAGTTGCTGGCCGAATCATGACAACAGTGATCGATAGCATCACCTTTGCCGCATCGTCCTCATCGTCATCTCCGTCCTCGCCATCGTCGTAATCATGATAATTTTCGCAGTTCTCCCACAATCAACAACAATATGGCCATCCTTATGATCATCACCACTTCTTGGCGTTCTTCTGGTTGGATCTTAGGACTTTAACTTTTTGGGTTTCTATATGAACTATAATAAGGAGGCTAAAAGTTTAACTTCTAGTAGCAGTTCAGAAGTCAGCCAAGACTTCGACATCACCACCGCACCCATCATCACCGACATCGGGACCTTCAGCATCGTCATCAGCATTTCATGGCTGCTCCTCGTCATGTTGACCGCTATGACAATCATGGTCTCCTGAGTTGTACCCTACGCGTCTTCATCATCCTGATGATCAGCAACATCGTCGTCACCAGCGCCGTGCTGTTACTAGTGCGAATGCATGTTGTCAGCACCGATGTGGATCGTCTCAAACTCGTAGTACAGCTCGAGTCATCGCTGAGCTTGGACCGCTGTGTGTTTTGACGGTCGCGGCCCTTGAGTTCAGGGCACCCGAATTGCTGAAGCCAATGGGTCAAGGTGTTAACCAGCTTTCAGCTCTTAGTTCCAAAGTTCTTGCAGAATGCTGCAAGTCAGAATGCTCTCCTCCGAAGAAATCTGCATACCTGTCGACGAGATACATGATGTAAGGGCCTTGAAACGGCACTTGCATCAGCTGCGTGGGTTTCCGCTGGGCTTTAGGCAGAAGTTGATGCTCCGTGGCGAGAGTTTGGAGGATTCCTTCAAGCTGGACACTCCGATGGACCTGGATGTCGTTTTACTGCCGTTCGTCGAAGTGTCGCAAAAGCAGGTGCAGGACCTCGTGCAAGCTGCCAGCCAGGGCTCCATTGCCAAAGTTGTGTCCATTCTACAGCTGCCGCAAGATCCAGACTTGAGTCAGGATAATGGCTGCACAGCTTTGGTTGCAGCATCTTATGCAGGTCATGTTGAAGTCGCCAGCTTGCTGCTGCAAGCCGGTGCCGCCACAGATCTGCCAGTCAGCGATGGCTGCACGGCGTTGATGATCGCATCTGCCCAGGGTCGTGTCGAGGTCGTGAGCTTGCTGCTGAAAGCCGGTGCCCACAAGGATGTGACAGGCAGCGACGGCAACACAGCTTTGATGAAGGCATCTGCCCAAGGTCATGTCGAGGTCGTGAGAGTGCTACTGAAAGGCGGTGCCAACAAGGAGGTGGCAGACAGTGAAGGCCGCACAGCTTTGATGAAGGCATGCGACAAAGGTCATGGCGAAGTTGTCCGACTGCTTCTGCAGTTTGGTGCCAACAAGGATGCAGCAGCAGGCACCGGCACAACACCTCTCATGGCTGCATCTTTTGCAGGTCATATCGAAGTCGTGAGGTTGCTGATCCAGGCGGGTGCTGACACGAGTGCAGAAAACAGACGTGGCGGCACAGCCTTGATGGTGGCATCTTATGGTGGTGTCGTCGGAGTCGTGGGCCTGCTGCTGGAAGCCGGCGCCACCAAGGATCTGGCAGACAGATTCGGAGTTACCGCTTTAATGTACGCATCTGCTGCAGGTCATGTCGACGTCGCCGGCCTGCTGCGGCAGGAGGGGGTCGACAAGGATCTCGCAGACAACGACGGCAACACAGCCTTGATGAAGGCATCTGTCCAAGGTCATGTCGAGGTGGTACGCTTGCTGCTGAAAGGCGGCGCCAACAAGGAGGTGACGGACAGCAAAGGCCGCACGGCTTTGATGAAAGCATCGGAGGCGGGTCTCGATCCAGAGCCAGCTTTTGCAGGCAGTACTCTTGCCGAAGTAGTAAGCTTGCTGCTTGATTTCGGCACCGACACGGATGTGGCAGACATCCAAGGCCGAACGGCCTTGATGCTCGCATCTCGCACAGGTCGTGTCGAGGTCGTGAGGTTGTTGCTTCAGGCCGGTGCCGATAAGGAGGTGGCAGACGACGAAGGCCGCACAGCTTTGATGCTGGCATCTGACGCAGGTCACAGCAAAGTCATGAGCTTGCTGCGGGAAGCCGGCACCAGCTGAAAGCTGAGCTTGCTGTTCTTGGAAAGTCCTTTCTTGCAGAGCTTCACTCACGCTTAGGCGACGCGTCCTTTATGCAGGCTCGCCCTGTGTCCTGCACTGCAGTCCAGGGCCACGCGCTACACTGTGGAAAGCACGTGCTGTGAGAGATCCTGGCAGTGACGTGTGGGATCTTGCTAGAAGGAAGCGAAACCAGTTCAACCCCAGACGCTATACTAACCGTTCATATTGGAGGAGCTATGGAGCCAGGGATGATGATATTAATCGCCATTACGCGCTGTTAAGCCTATTACATAAGGAGGTAAATAGCCAAGGGAGCCCCCAAAAACCAGTGGTTTGTACAGATCACAGACCCTGAACAAATACCCTGGACCGATGGAACCTTGCCAGAAGGGTCACAAGCCCTTGCTTAGTAACTTGGATTAGCGGGAACAAGAATCCATACTTAATCCGAAAGGTTAACTTAACGGCTAGTCCTCCCAGAAGTCTGGATAAGTAAGCGTAAAGCCTAAACCCTCACAATGTTGGCGTGGGACACCCTACACCCTCATCCTTACACTCCCCAAAACCCTAAATCCAGAAGTCCCAAAGCCCTGAACAAAGACCCGGGACCGGGACCGTCGGTTCCTTACCCAACAGACCCGAATGATTGTGGGATCTCCAACCTTCAAACGCTGATAACCGATGTAGTTTGTGAGGTTTAGGACTTGGGCTTTTGGGGTTTGGGGACAAAGGCTTACGGGACGGCGTCAAAGAGCCCAATACTAGGTTTGATGGGGTCTTACAGGCCTTGTATGAGTGTGTTGCGGGGCGTTCTCCTTCTTAAAAGGCTTTTCAATTCCTTTGGCACGGGCTTCAGGTGTTGAGGCGACAAATGGCGTACGTATATGTAGGGTTTTGGGATGTTTTCGGTGTCCGGTTGTATAGTACTTAGTAAACCCTAAGGGTCCATGTACTCATATAGTATATACGTTGGCCTTAATGTAGTCCCTATATAGGTACATTGGGGCCCATGTATCTCTATATGGGTACATGGACCCTTAGTAAAGGCTGCAGGGGGTTGAAGCCGGTGTTGCTGGGTGTATACCGAAACGCTGATTCCCGGGCTGCGGGGTTTGGAGGACATAGTGTAGGGACCTTAACAATTGCCTATACTATTTTGGGGGCTCCCTACTACAATTACAGTGTAATGGGACCCCTAAACCCTAAACCCCTTAACCCCTAAACCCTTAAACCCTATTTTTAAATATTTAAGGCCTCTACATTGGGGTTTTTGGTTTCTGAGGTTTAGCATCTTGTGGCTCGCGTGTCTCTGCATAGCAGTGAAGGGTTGAGGGTGTTTGGCGATTGAAAACAGTCTCTAGCCAGAGCTCCATAGTAGTTCCTTTTTGGCATTACCTTATAGGATTCTAAATATGAACCCCAAAGAGGAACTACTATGGAGCCTCCGGGTAGCTTCTTGGCGTGCTACCTTTCTCTAGCAGAACTTGTTCGAAGCTATAACGCCTTTCATTTGCTGGCGCTTCTGATATTCTTCTTATGATCCGGTGCTGCCTTAGGACATCACGAGGCGGTGTACTCTGCCACCTTAGTGACCCTTGACCTCCATGCAACCTCATGAAGATTCCGACATCGATCGCAACCCTGAACCCTAAATCAAAAACCGGACATAGCAACCCGCACCTGAAGCATGTTAGGAGGTGAAGAGATCCTAATTGGGGTTACAACACTTATAATACTCGATGAAATAACTACTTACTCTTCCGACCCTGAAAACATAGGAGGTGAAGAGGGAGCAGCTCGAGGCTGAGAAAGCCGCGGCTGAGCAGGCCGGATAATATCCGAGCCTCGGTTTAGGGTTTATAGTTTGTAAGGTTTATAGGGTTCAGGGGAAATTCTAAAACCCTGAACCCTAAACCGCATATCTTCTAGCCCAAAACAAGGTTTGTGAGCCTGGGTGTGGGATTATTGTGTTTAGGGAGTTTAGGATTCGGTTTCACTGGACCTCACTTACCGCATGTTTGTCTTCGTGACTTCGGGTTTAGTGTTAGATATCGTGTTTTGGGCTTCTAGAGGGTTAAGGGTTTAAGAGTATCTTGGAGAGTCTCCCGAACCCAGAATGGAAATCGCAAGTCGCAGGATCTTCAACGACCGCCCACCGTCTCTGTTTCTGTGTTTGATTAAATGAAGCTTGACTTGTTTTCAATCGGGGCCCGCGAAGTTGCAAAAGAAGGCGACGTAGAGTAATGTAGAGTAGAGCGTAATCGTAACTGTACATGGGATATGTATATATATATACAGAATCATATATATATATATATATATACAGAATCATATATATATATATATATATATAATCATATATATATATATATACACATCTTGTACAGGTATATATACATATGTATGTATGTATGTATGTATGTATGTATGTATGTATGTATGTATGTACACACACACCCGGGTATAGGTACACGTACATATACATACGTACATACATGCATACATACACATACAAACGCGCACACACACATACATATATATATATATATATATATATATGTATATATACTTATACATATGTGTGTGAATATTTGCATATATACATATACATGAGAACCCACATGCATGCATACGTACATTCTACATACATACATAGATGCATACATACATACAGACAGACAGACATGCACACATACATGCATAGGCTATGGTGGGCAGGTCGCTTTGCATGGAGTCCTATTGTGTGGGTTGTTTGCTAGCAACTCCCGCAATGTAGTGTCTGGGACAGGCAGCCGCCACAGAGAGCTTAGTTTTCAAAACCTGAGCCTTGCATAGAGTATGAGGTTCTGAGCAATCACGGAAGAATTAGTGGTAAGGTTCCCTCATCGTCGCTGTATGCTTATTGTACACTGTGTCCCAAAACCCTTGTCTCATGATTTAGGCGCCAATGTCAAGCCTTGACAAGCACTCAACAACCCAACAAACAGCTAAAGGAGCATCATACAGCCCGATAATGTCCTCGAAGACAAGATTCAGAAGAGAGACAGAAGATCCTCGATCCTAGACCCCAAACTTGAACCTTACACCCCCCCCCCACCCCCCACGCCCCAAAGAAACGTTTCAGACGAGACGCCGCTCTGCCCTTTGGAGGCCGAGATGCGGGATAATCTGCTAAAACAGCACGGGCCTTGAGGAATCGATTTAGTTGGGATTTAGAGGTTCCTTGGGTTTCCACTTAAGCGTTTAACGCATTTTCGGGTCTAGGTTTTTCGGGTAAACTGATTTGAGGAATCTGAGGTCTAGCATTCAAGAGAGTGGGTTTTGGTGTTGAGGCCGGAGTTTGGTATGACGTTTAGCGCTGCTGGTTTGTGGGGCGTAGTGTTTGAGATGGTTCATTTTTTCGATCGCCCACAAAAAGTGGGTCTCGTCAGTGTATGCCGTGTATGCAAGGTCTTACACTGACGGTGCGATCCGATAAGAAGATGAATTGTTTGTGAAGCACACTGGGTTTTAGGGGTTTGGGGTTTGTGTTTGGGTTCAAGAAAACCTGTCCGATAGCTCAACCCCGTTGATTGGGGACTATTGATGGGCTTGAACTTGTGGTCTAATGATATGTAAGGATCATTCCTCCAATTGCATAGGTTTTCACAATCGTGCATACAGGACATGTCACAATAGTGTATGCAGCACATGTCGAACACCATTCAGGTCTTCCCATTAGTTACGATTTAAGGAGCACATTCCTTGAGGGCCCAAATGTTAGGACCGCTTGTCGAATCCCCATAAAGGAGAGCTGGTCTAATATATAATCAACGGTTTACAGTATTATTCACGACGACAGTAGCGATAACTGGTCTTATAACTGCCTAAACGCTGAGCCTGGGACCAGGACCCTCTTCAAGCCGCCAATCGGTGAACCCGAAACCTGCAGCCCGAAGCCTACTTCCCAAACATACCACTATCCCATGGCAGTGAGAACAGACAATGCATTTTATAGGAGCCTTGTAACTTTTCTCCCAGAAGCCCTTTGGCCCAGAATTAAAGACACGGCGTCAGATTGTCAGTTGATGGGTTCATGCCTAAATTGAGACCTGTAAAAGCCATACAAGTACTTTCAAGAAGCACTTTCAACAACCCTTTGACATGGGAAACTCATGTTGGAGTCTCGATATTTCGCAGCGCTCGCAGCCAAGGACGTCAGAGTTGGCATCGGCGGCACAGAAGGAGCGACATTTCCGTGCGCTTGCGTGGGTTTGGTGTATACTGATTACAGTGAAAATTGAAAACCCTGTACAAGAGCCCCGTTCGGCGAGAGTAGCCTACCCTAAGGTTCTTAATTTCCATTACATTTGATTTTGCCGGTCGAGCAGCTAGGGTAGGCTCAGGTTCTTAACCATGTTCTTATCTGGAGCGCGATTGACGCCTTGGCTGAGGGCTCTCAGGAAATTTATTTGCGGATTCTAAGTTTCCTTGCGGGGGGGCGCTGGGTCATGGGGGTCTGAAAATTTAGTTTTCAATTCTACATTTTCTGGTATCTTGGGGTCAGGGCTCCCAAATTTTGTTTTCAATTCTAAATCTCCAGAACATGACACCAGGGGTTCGAAACAGCAGCCTCGCGCTGTCAGAACGCATGCACAACCACTGCACTGTGGCATAACTGTCTTTGGCCAGCCAACATACGCTCATTATGCTCGGGCAGAGGGTTTCTTGATGTGGAGGGTTGGGAAATTCAGTTTTCGACTCTGAATTTCCTTGGTGAGGGAACGAACCCAAAGAATTAAGAACCTGACCCAAAAAATTCAGGCGTGCATTCCGCCTGGGTAGGGGCTCAGGTTCTTAAACAGTGGGTTCTTATACAGTGTTTTCACTGTAATACGAGGAGATGGGTTATTCGAGCGCGTTGCTTCTTTGTCAAACTTTAAAATAGTTGCACTGCACAAAGAGTACATGAAGGTTTCGCTGCTCTTGTTCTACCTATAGTGCAAAGTGTTGGTTATTGCACAAAAAATGCATGAAGGTTTTGCTGCTCTTGTCCTACCTGTAGCGCAAAGTGTTGTTTTTTGGCGTCTTTTTTTTCTTTAGTCCTGCATTCTGCCTGTGACTTTTCAGGCTCGGACTCTTTCAGCCTTGTATGTGTCTTTGGGACCTGTCAGCGCTGGCCCTTGCGAGGAGGCGTTTGACTTCCTCCAGGATGGTGCCACCCGGCGGTACATGCCTGCCTTTGTAGCTATGCAGGCAACCTGTGACGTTTTGGGGGCAGGTATAATCCGTGGCGCCGCGAAAGTCATTCCTTTTCGAGTCAGGGAACTCAGAAATTGTACGGCCTTAGGAAGCAGACGAAAAGCAGAGGAGAGGAGTCGTCGTCGTAGCAGTAGTCGTAGTCGTAGTCGTCGTAGGCTTCGTAGTCGTCGTCGTCGTCGTCGTCGCAGAAGTAGTACGAGCCGGTAGAAGTAGGTAGCAGTAGGAAGTAGGAGGTAGTAGTAGGTAGTAGTAGTGGTAGCAGTAGTAAGTAGTAGCAGTAGCAATAGCAGTAGTAGTAGTAGTAGTAGTAGCAGCAGTAGCAGTAGCAGTAGCAGTAGCAGTAGCAGTGGCAGTGGCAGCAGCAGTAGCTCTAGCAGTAGCAGTTGTAGCAGTAGCAGTAGCAGTAGTAGTAGTAAAGTAGTAGTAGTAGTAGTAGTAGTAGTAGTAGTAGTAGTAGTAGTAGTAGTAGTAGTAGTAGTAGTAGTAGTAGTAGTAGTAGTAGTAGTAGTAGTAGTAAAGTAGTAGTAAAGTAGTAGTAGTAGTAGTAGTAGTAGTAGTAGTAGTAGTAGTAGTAGTAGTAGTAGTAGTAGTAGTAGTAGTAGTAGTAGTAGTAGTAGTAGTAGTAGTAGTAGTAGTAGTAGTAGTAGTAGAAGTAAGGAGCAATAGGCTTTAGGACATGGGACTTTTGTTGGTTTCGCGGCATCAGAGGTTTGTTGTGCATAAACTGGACCCTCAGCCCTAAACTCGAAGCCCTGTACCCAGATGAGGGTTCTTGTTTCAGACATCTTTGCTGCAGAAGTCTCTTGGGGTGTCACGAAGCCTCGAAGTTCCACTGTCCTGGAACTCAAAGGACCGCGCACCCACAAAAACACATGAGCAGTCTTGTTATTCGTGTCGTGTCGGCGTTTTTTCGTTACCCGGGCGCACAACTTGCATTACGTCTCAGAGCATGTGCATGCAGAAGAGCCAAGCATGCAAGCTTACCGGCATGCGTGCATGCATATGTCCCGCATGTATGAGTGTGTGCATGTAATTACCCATTCCGTCTGCTGCAACCTATGTGCCGCCAGCAATCTTCGGAAGCACATCCCAGGCCACCGCAGCCAATATTGCAATAAGCCCTAAATCCCAGAGGGCACGCGCAAGCCATAACAAATTGAAATACCGTTATGCCCATAGTTAAGTATCCTTAAGGTAATGCAGGGTCTATATCATCAAGAGTAGGTCATAGGAGGCCAAAAGGGGTTTTAGCCTATGGGGGTTTAGTAGGGATTAGGGTTCCCATAATGGGGTTCATATTAAGGAATCCCTACCCCAAGAATCTTAAACCCCCCAATTGGCCTCCCATCAGTAGGAGTATCAGACCAGATCAGAGGCCAACTCGCTGATGGAGGCCTTTGGCGGTGGCAGCGGCTCGGGTGCTCGAGGAGAACGGAGCTGTCTCGGCAGCTGGAACGGTTTAGGGTTTAGGGTTTAGGGTACCCTGAAACCCTATAGGCCCTAAACTTAAGGTTTAGGGCTTTGGGTTTCATTATAGATGTTCATGAATTATTCGTTTTTGTGGATATGGGTCTCGCTGGCTGAGGTTGCGGTAGTAACGGTAGCAAACTGACCGCATGAAGCCGTGCCCGCGTCGAGCGAGAGTCAGTTGAGGGTTTAGCCTCAAGCCCTTGCCTCGACCCTGAACCCTCAACTCTGCAGAAAAGGTGTTTTTGCGAAGTACACGTGTTTTAGACGAGTTGTCCAGGATGCTGGGGGTTGCATAGAGGTTTATTGAGTTCAGTCTCCGTCCAGGAAGGATCACTCATGAAGCATCCTCGTCATGATCTCAAGGGTTTTCCCTAGGCGCGTCAAGTGGTAAATCATAGGAGGCCAAAAGGGGTTTTAGCCTATGGGGGTTTAGTAGGGATAAGGGTTCCCATAATGGGGTTCATATTGAGGAATCCCTACCCTAAGAATCTTAAACCCCCCAATTGGCCTCCCATCAATAAAGGAGTTTCGAGTCTCTGGGAGCTAAGCTTGATGCTGGCAAGACTAGAGGAGCCTGTTTTTTGGTTCTTCCACTGGGTTCAGGGGTTTCTTTCCAGGGTTAATTACTTTGAAGGTTTCTAAGGGTTACTACAAAGGTACTATAAGGGTTTAGGGCTTCGCCGCTGTGCCGTTGTCGGTTGAGGGGTTTGGGGTTCGCGGTCAGTTGGAGATAAACCCTACCCCCAAGCCCCTGAAAGCCCAAACCCCTCAGCCCCTAAACATTTACAGACCTTAACCCAATACTGCGAAACCCCCAGAGCCCTGAACCCTAAGACCTTCAATCCTTTCGTCCGAGGTGTCCGAGTTAGGGGAGCCCCTTCCCCTTAAGGGCCCAAGTAGTCAATGATCATATACTCCCCAAGCACCAACCTGCAGTACTAATTGCTCTCCTTAAACTGGGTCCTAAACCCTAAACCCCAAAACTTTAAATTTCTAACCGAGTCCCTTCAGGAGGCGCCGGCGGTGGCGGCGGCGGAGGTGGCGGGCGCAACTCTTCCGGCCGCTCCGGGCGTGGCGCGCGCAGGTGCAGTAAGGGCTCTATATGAGTTCGATTAGGGGTCTTCAGGGGTTTAGGGTCCAGGGTTCGAGTTCCGGTCTCGATTCAGATGAGTGTTGTCCAACAAAGATTTCCTGGCTTGGGGTTATAGGGCTTTTATGTTGCATGGCTGCGGTTTCAGTGTTCAAGGGTTTATACGTGTAGGTTAGGAGTTTTTAGGGTACAGGACCAGGCTGGGTTAGTGTAAGCACTAACATTGCGGCATGCATACATGTACACATGTCCCGATATATGTATCTGTCTAGCCCTTTCCTTAGAGTATGAGCTTCACAAGAGTCGAGACATCTCGGGCATCAGGAAGCCCAGAATCTATTCACAACATCTAAGGCCAGTGGCCGAAGCCTACAGGGTGCAGGGGTTTTGGGAGTAGTAACATAGAGTTCAGACTTAATTTGGGGGTTGCGACCTTGCGCGCAGGGTTTGTATGTTTTTGTTTTTTGCCTAGGTTGCTACACTTACTGTGTATAAGGAATTGGGGCTTGTAGACTTGAGGCGTTTTGTTGAGCCACGCCTTAAATGCCCTCAACCCAATAACACAGACCAAGACAACTCTCCAGCCCTGAATCCTAAACCCCGAAATCAAACCCGAAGCCTGACCGGTACTTTCGGGGTTGGGGTTTGGGGGTAGAGGGGTTAGGGGTTAAGGGGTTTAGGGGTTTGGGGTTATAGGGGTTATAGGGGTTTAGGGTTTAAGGGTTATGTAATTAGGGGTCCAGGCCCAGATAGTTACCAACACTACTTTTGGGGATTCCTTATGATTAGCTATGGCATAATAAAGCTCAAAAACCTATTCTAAATATTGAGGCCCCTGCCTATACTGAACCCTTATAGTATCCCTTAAAGGACCCCTGGAAAGGAACCCTATTCTAATTATTAAAGCCCCTACATCCCTCAATTCCTTACAGTATCCCTTAAAGGAGCCCTATTCTAATCGCGGAGGCCCCTACAGCATTTCGGTGCTACGTTTGGGGATGGTTTCGTCTTCGGCGAACCAGCTCCACCTGCGTAAGCTACTTACAGCCATGAGCTGATCCCGCCCCAGAGAGCCCAATATCCCTTAATTAAGGAATATAGCTTAAAAATTATAATATGAAGCCCCTCATAATTTAAGGTATATTCCTTACCCTAAACCCTAAACCCTAGAGATCCCTTTAAAGGAACCCTAGGCCCTAGGCATACCGTATATTCCTTAATTAAGGGGTATTGGGCTCTCTGGGTCTTTCAACCGATGCATGGACGAATTTAGGAGCGCGACTTCGGTCTCCCTCTCCCGGAAAAAGGGCCCCTACTTGGAAGGGCAGGGGACTTAGTAAGGGCTCTTAAAGGGCTCCTTAAAGGGATCTATAGTGTTCCTTAAGGGGATCTATGGGGTTTAGGATTTAGGGTGTATTTGGAAGGGCAGGGGACTTAGTAAGTAGGTTATAAGTCGAGTTATAAGTACCCTAAATGGAGTGAACCCTAGGTTATAAGTAGAGTTATAAGTACCCTAAATGGAGTTACCCCCAATTATAACCCTACTTATAACCTGCTTGCTAAGTCCCATGAGCCTTCCAAGTACAGCACCCGCAAACCGAGGGGCCCCGCGTGGTTGGTTTTCATCGCATGCGGCCTCGCATCATCTGCCGCCTTCTTTCTGCTGAGGGCGAGAAGGCTCCAAAGTCAGATGCAGGGTTTTAGGGGTTAGGGGTTCCAAAGAAGGGGTTTAGGGTTTAGGGGTTTAGGGTTCAGGTCTGTGCTTAAAACGGGGTTTGGGGTTTAAGGGTTTGCGTGTTTGGGGTTTATGAGTTTCGAGGTTTGGGGTTTAGGGTTCCGGGGTTTGGGGTTTAAGGGTTTATTGAGCCAGTACCGCGCAAGGTGCGCCAACAAGGCTCACAAGACGACACCTCGCAGTGTACTGGGTTCTCGTCAAGAACGGTCAACTTGAATCAAGTTACCATAGCAAGGAAGCAATGGATTTGCCGTAATTACACTTTAATTATGTTGGTTTAAATCAAACGCCTAACAAGCGCCCACTCCACTGTAGCAGCTCTGCCTCCGAACCAGAAGCAAAACCAGGGTCTAGGGTCAACTAGACTAGGTCTCCCCGTAGTACCCGCTCGCCCTTTTTGTTTTGGGCCTCGTTGCTGAACCCCGAATGGAAAAGTCACGATGCTACTGAGAACTTAATGTAGTGGCCTTCATGATTAAACTAGGGTCTGGGGCCGGGGCCCCTTTATAGTATAGCCATAGTAAGGAGCCCTAAGGAATAACATTGGTACTAATTGTCGGTTCACAGTTCGGGCTATCTCATGGTATGTCGAAGAGAGACTTCAAAAAGCTCCCCATCAACCCGCGAATCTCTAAACTTTGACCGGGCTCAGGGTCTTTAGGGCTTAGGCTTTAGGGCTATAGGGTTTAGGGGTTAGGGTTTAGGGCTTTATAGGGGTTAGAGAGCCCGGGTTCAAAAGGGGCTTAGGGGTTTACGTTTATATAGCGCTTAGACTCTAAGGCTTAGACTATTAGAGTTTAGGGTTTAGGAGACTCCGGGCGAAGTGGAAAGCCTGGGACTTTAGCCACTGATCTCCGCAGGCGTGCCCGGCGCTGGGAGGAGCAGCATCGCAAGCGCTGGCCAATTCGTGCACTTGCCCACGCTTAGGGACTCTCTGCTGAAGGCGTTCGCGCACTCGCAGTTGTCAGGCCTTTGTTTGGTTCAGGGCTCCAGGTGTGTATATATCTTCAGCCCACAGCCGCATAAAAAGCCTAAAGCTTTTCAAACAGCTTGGCTCCTTTCTAGCACTTGATAGTTGGGAATAGTATCCTTTTCTATAGGCTTGCGAGAATCATTGCTTATCGGGTGGTTTCGAACCTGATCTTGAAAGTCGAGATTCAACAGACGGTCGGAGTAGACTACGACGGAATGACTCTTGGCCCCTTAATGGGCATGTAGAACAAGACTGGACAGAAATCTTGCGCGGTGTCTACAATGGAGCGCCGTGCGTTGCCTCAGGGTTCAGTTCACCCCAACCGGTAGCGCAAGGGTCGTTCTCGCTGTAGCAGCGCCCTAAATGCGGGAGCCCAAAAGAGACCTCATTTTGGCAATATAAGAACCCGCCCCCACCCAGACGTGCAGAGAAGCTAAAGCAGGGAGCCCTGTTGCGACGTCTTTCGAAGTCACAGCTTCTGGTGCAGTGCGCCGAGGACAAAAGGGTCGCGTCAGCAAACCTTAGTTTTTTAATTGGCCTTAAAAAATTAGAATAGGGCCCGGGAGCGTATTATACTAGTTCAATCAGTATCTCTATCATAAGGAATCCCTAAAACTCTATTCTAACCATTAAGGCCCTTACCCTAAAGCCTTGTTGCAACTATGCCCTGACATGGGGAGTAAAACTACCTTTATTAACCTACCAAAACCTACCTTTTTTGTAGGTTCTTATTGTGAAACCATGGTAGGGTCCTTACAGGGACCCTACAAAAAAGTAGGTTCTGATAACTAAGGTAGACAACCATCGCTAGCCAAGAGGTATGCAACGTGTTTGCTGCTTTAGCACAATGCGGGCTGAAAAGGGGAACCCGTCGTGGCCATTCAGCGAAGGTTCAGGTACGCGGCATGTGGCATGTTTTGCCGTTTCTCGGGAGTTGGAAGGAAGCCCTTAACTCTACCTGGACGCCACGAAACTTACATGTTTAGGGCTCCGTATTATGATTTCCTTGCATTGCTCCATCAAAAGGTGGGCGTTTGAGTGTACAGATACTTTCTACGACCCAGGCATTCTTGCAAGCCTCTTACGCTCCTATTAGGCTTGCTCCAACTTCGGGCGAAGTGGAAGTCCTGTTGCAAAAGGAGTTTAGAGTTGAGTAGCTAAGAGTTTAGGAGTTTAGGATTAAAGATCAGAATAAAGGTGCTCCACCCTCGTTGCTTCAGGTTGCCGACGGTCAGCAGGGCGCCCAGTTACGGTGAGAACTGTGAACGGCGTGACGTCTCTTGCATGTCAGCAAACTTACCGGATGAGCCCTAAACGCCTCAACCCTAAACCCTAAACACCTACCTAGACCCCCCAACTACTCCCTAATATACCCTAAATACCCACTATTAAGGACCATAAGGGCTCTATTAATGGGCACTTGGGTGGTGCTGGTAAATTCGACCCTAAACGCTAAACTCAAAACCCTAAAGGATGAGCCGCGTTCGGTGCTACGGTTGATGATATAAATCCTGCATTACCCATAATAAGGAATATATGGGAATTACGGTATATTCCTTATTGTGGGTCATGCAGGATTGATATCATCAACCGTAGAAGCGTGGCTTTTTCAAACCAGGTTACAGGCTTTTTATGTGACGCCCAGGTGCCAGCAGCTTCAAGTCCATTGAGGACGACCTGCCCATTTTGAGGGTTATGGGGTTTAGGGTTTAGGGTACGGTTGAGGGTTCAGGGTTTAGGGTTATGGAATGGTTTGGGGTTTAGGGTTTAGGGGTTTGGCGATGGGGGATGGAACACTAAACCCCGACCTCTTTATGAAGCCCATTGTCCAGGAGCGGTTACACGCAAGAGTCCGCCACTGTGGTCCTTCTACGAGTAGCGTGCAAAATCTCCTGCAACCGTACACTAGGCTTTTCGGTTCTCCTCTACATCTCTGTGGCTTGTATTTCATGTGCTATGGCTTGTTTGTGTGTTTGTGAAGGTTCTATCGTATGCCTGGAATTGTAGTATCCTTAAGGGAGGGGGGTATATAGCCAAGTGATCCCTAATTCTCCCTAGTACTCCCTAAGGTTCCTTACAGTCCCCTAAGGATTCCTTATACCCTCCCCCCTTGAACCACCCTCCCTTAAGGATCCTATAATGGAAACTAAACCAGATGGCCGTGCCAAGGTTCAGGTCCTGATGCTGCTGAGATTTGAAAACCAGTGAGCGGGCTCCTTTTCTTGGAGCCCTTCAATGGTTTTGAAGATCCCTTTGATGAAGTATAGGATTGAAGAGGTCCTACCCAACAAAGGTAGGTAAAGCAACAGCAATCTCCGTAAGACTGTAATTAAGACTACAGTCTACAAACTGAAAAGAACCTCGCCTGGCAACTCCGCGAGTAAGCACCGAAACCCCAGAAAGTTTTCTAGGCCAGGAGACGCAGCAAGTAGGGCTTTAAGTCAAGTGTGGAGATTTCCGTGGGGTTTATCAGGCTTTGTCTGATTTATGAGGGGCCGATACGTCTCGTTGATTATAGTATAGAGCAGCCCTCACTATGGTTCATTATGTTGAAGGGTTCTATAGGGGCCTAAATACTTACCAATATTATGGTGATCATAGTTATAGTATAATGGGCCCCAAAACCCTATTCTAATCATTAAGGCCCCTATATTGCTGGTCTTCCTAAACCCTAAACCCTAAAAAAAAAACCCTAAACCCTACACCACTGGTCTTCCTAAGCTCAAGGCTCAGACCCCATCCGTCAGCCCGAGACCCTAGTCCGCGATCCCTAAACCCTGAGACCTGCATGGGCGGTTGTCAAAATTAGGGTCCTTTTTTGGGTCCTTAGAAGAATACCGCACCCAATATTTAGGGTACTTGGGTCCTTAGAAGAATACGGCACCTAATCTTTAGGGTGCCCAGACAGGGACCTAATTTTGACAACCACCCACATGAATTTCCGCTTGCCACAAGCATGTGGCAAGGCAAGATCTGTTGGGCCAAGGATGAGAAACCCTCTGGAGATAGCGCGGCGGGTGTCGTTTGAAGAGTTTCTTTGTGGTGCTCACTAAACGTACAGGGTGTCATTAGGGTATGTATGCGTTGTGTTAACTTCAAGTCTTTCGGTAGATAAAGTGCCATCGGTGTATGTTTTGGTGGCTCAAGGAATTCAGAAACTACCGTCACGCCCCAAACCCTCAAACATATTTACAGCGTCCCCGAACGTAGACTGCTATACATACTATAAAGCCCCTTAACTCTAAATCCGAGTGCACGCGCCCGATACCCGAAACCGCCCCTTTGCCAGTCACTCGTGAAGCAGTCTGCGCACCTGGAGACTCAGTCTACCCAAAGGCCCCAAAGTAGTTCCTTTTTGGGAGCACCCTATAGGATTCTATATATGACCCCAAAAAGGAACTACTTTGCGGCCTTTGGGTAAGCTCTACCCTCATCAGAGGAGCTTGCCGCTGCAGCGCTCTCCGTAGTCGTTCCAGAGGTTGGCAGAGGGTTGTTTTAGAAATGGGGGTTTCCGAAAACAGGGGTACCTTATTTTGGGGTCCTTATAATAAGGATCCTACTATCTAGGGTACTATATTAGGGTCCCCTATTTTTGGAAACTGCCAAATAAGGTTCCCTGTTGGTGATCTCTGCTTTTAATAGCAGAGCTCCCTGGTTCAGCTTAGGGACCAGTCTAGGCTTTGGGGCACACTGCACATTGCCGAAGCCAATGCTCAGGGTTGTTGACCACCTGAAACTTCTTAGTTGCGAGTTTCCGAGAAGTAGGAATACCTTAATTTTGGGGTCCTTATAGTAAGGATCCCACCATTTTAGAGTTCCGAAAAGACGGCATTGAAGCGGCAGCCTTGGCAGCCATGTCTACGAAGCCTGCTTTTCTGCTAAGGCTCCCACCCTCCGGAGATCCTTACACGAGACCCTTCAAACAACATATCCCTACAGCAGAAGCCAGAAAGATGGAATATCATTATCGTAACCCCTTTAATGCAAATTATAGGGGATCCTACCATTAATCCATATTCCAACTTTCTGGAGTTCCCTTTATGTAACCTGCAGATTCACTCAGCCCCTGAGCCCTTGGCACGATTCAAGACAGGAAACCGCAAGGCAGATCTCTCAAGCCTGCACCCTAGCCGATACGATAACTTCCCAATGCCTACGACCACTAACCTCAACGGAGGAAGCACAAAACCACATCCCCACATGGAGAGTTGTCAAAATTAGGGTCCCCTTTTTGGGTACCCTAAATATTTGGTGCCGTACTACATTAGGGACCCCAAAAGGGACCCTAATCTTGACAACCACCCATATGCCCAAGACTAAACCCCCCAAGCCCTAACATAACAGACCGTAAACACAAACCAACGCCCTGAGCATCCCTAAATCCTCACAAGGAGACGCTAAACCCTCAACCCATCAAGCCGAAGCCGCCCTGAACTTCACCTTAAGCCCCAAACTTGAACAGAAGGAATGCACTCACAGGCCCCTCCGCAGATGATTCAGAAGTCGAGCGGCACCGAGACAGACCAGGCTCCCTGAGGACGTTTTGGAAGGGTTTAGGGTTTGGAAGACGGTTCTGGGTGTGTAAACCTCAATGTTCAGGATGCCAAGGTCAGAACTACTTGCCTCCGGTTTGGGGAGTAGACCCCACTAGCGTCTGGTTAGAGCTTAGGCTTAGGAGCGAGGGTTGAGAGGTCAGGGCTTACGGTGCAGAGAGTTGCGGTAAGGTGACCGCAAGGTTGCTGTAAGGTTGCGAAACGGTGGGTGATCTGAAGGGTTACTACCTAGCAGTAGAGTAGGTAGCCTTTAACCTTTTGGGGGTATTATTATCCCTAAAAAGTTCCAATATGTTCCCAAAGCTTATAACCTTCGGTTCGTAAGGATACTGGACAAGTAGGACTAAGTACGAGGTTTCTATGACGTGTTATATTGGCTGTTTGCAGGCGACAGTACCACAAGACTCCGAATGGGTCACCATGTGGCTTATTATAAGGCTGCTACAAGGCTACTCTAGGAAGTAGGCTTCAGGGCTTATGGAGCAAGGAACCTGGAAGGGGGCAGGGTGTGCTTTAAGGCAGCATTGTGTTTGGAGCGTGAGGGTTTCGCGGTTTCAACTTGATCGTTGAGGGTTTAGTAGCATGTCGTTTGGAACCCTAAACCCTAAAGTGTAGATAAGCCTACACTCCATCCCGTAAATAAAGTTTACGGTTTAGGGTTTCGTGCACAGCACCAGTTTGCCTCCTTCTTCGACACCCCCTTGCAAAGGGGTTTAGGGTTCAGGGCCCACGAATTGCTGAAGCCAATGGCTCAAGGTGCTAAGCACCTGGAAGTCTTAGTTCCGATGCTGCGAAGTTCTTGTAGTGCAGGATGCTAGGATACCTTCTTTTGGGGTACTTATATTAAGGATCCTACTATTTAGGGGGCTATATTCGGGCTCCTGGTCTCCGGTAATGATTTTCGGCTTTCGTTGCAACCAAGTACAGTAATTGAGTAGCTGCGATTTGAAAGTTGGCTGTTTCTCAAATGGGGGGTCTCTTGACTTAATGTTTGACTTAGTGGGCCGCGCTTCACATTTGCGTGACATCTGTGGTTAGAATCGACCGAAGCCCTAAACCCCTGAATTAAAGTCCTGTTATTGTGAGCAGCCAAATCCCTATTAGAATCTAAGACGTGACACCCCAGATCCCTATAAGGTACGTGAACCCTCCAGGCCCCTCGGTTTAGGGTTTAGGGCACCAAACTCCTGCTGCAGGGCAACGAAACCGACACAGAAGAGGAAGACGACGACGAAGACGATAGCGCGGAGGCCCCACGACTCTGTTAGACGTTTTTGGCACCATTGCAGTTTACAGCTTAGCTGAAGGGCTCCGAGATGACGGAAGTTTCGATTCCGAAGTCAAGGTTCCAGCATGTTCTTTGGATGTTCAGGCTGCAGGGGCTTTTTTGGGGTGTGGTTTCCGTGTGCAGGATGCATGGCTTTGGGTTGAGGCTGCCTGGTTTGGGCTTAAGGTGTGGGGCGTAGGGCCAGCATAAAGGTGTAGTTGGATGGAACACGCCCCCTGCTGATCTCACATGACCTGCATGTCTCCTCTAGTTTGCGAGTGGCTTTCGACAGATAGATCTCGGGTCCCATGCCCTTCTGCGGAGTGCTTGCTCCGGTGCCACCGCGATGCACCAGTTCGCAGCTGAGATTGCTCCTGCGCTCCCGCTGGCAGTTCAGCCGGGATCCAGCTGACTCGTGATCCCTAAACCTCCAAACCCAAAACCCGAAGCCTTAAACCGGGGTTTAGCGTTTAGGGTCACTGTGCACCTAGCTCGAGTGCAGAAGAAGTGGAGTGGATGAGAACTCACGCAACCTCTCCTCACGACCTCACGGCTGGACATAGCACAGTCGACAGGAGGACTGTGTGAGAGCACTGAACTTTGCCCTTTCTGATCTGACTTGGCAACAACCGCTTGACAGACGTGCTAACTCGTGATCCCTCTGGCATGTCCGAGTTGTGAGAGCGTAAACCCCCAACCCCAAAACCCAAAGTAGGAGGCAAAAAAACCGAAGCCTTAAACCGGGGTTTAGGGTTTAGGGTCACGACGTCAGGAGGCCTTTGTGAGAGCACTGAACTTTGCCCTTTCTGACCTGACTTGGCAACAACTGCTTTACAGATGTGCAAGGGGACACCCCTTGGGCTACAAGAGGTTCGTTGTTCGTTGTCCATGTTGAATGGCCACCCTACTTAGCAGGTTGGTACTCGTATTGATGTGTCGTTGGCCTTTCCCCCATCTAGTTACTTAGGGGTACTTAGAAATACTTTTTAATTTTTGGTTATTATAAACCCTAAGAAAAAGCTAAAATTTCATGTTTTGCTAGGGTTCTAAGTTCAGTATAGGTTACTCTAGTTCTTCGTTTCACTCCTCAGACCTCGCACCACATGCCTCGCCTGAATTGCTCGCGTTTTGGTAAAAGCGCCGAAGCCAAGACCTCTAAACTCCAAACCCTATAAACCCCACACCCTAAGGCCGAACTGAAAGAAGAGGTCGGGCCTCGAGCAGTAGACTTGAGGCCCCAAGCAAACCCCCGAACCCTGAGTTTAGGGGTTTAGGGTTTGGGGAAACATTGAAATCCTTTACCGTCCTGGACCCCTTCGTGGCACTGTGGCTTCTGTCGCTATGGACCTTGTCTTACGAAGTGTATATACAGGTTTTGACAATCAATCCTTCTTGAGCCCTATATACCTCAGCCATAAATGTTGGAGATTTTACTACGTATCATGTTGGTAGTAGAAATAAAGCTCCCCACGGCTGCCGTCTAGTCATACAGGCTTCCATTCGGTCAGGTTAAAGTCCTAATAACCCTAAACCCCAACCCGTGTCGACACATGCCTGGCCTTGCATGTGAACGCCGAAACCCGTGTCCTAAGCTCTAAACTCTAAAAGCAGTTTCTGCATCAGCCAAGTTGAAGCCCTAAACCCCGCACCCTCAACCCTGCACCGTCAGGTTGAAGTTGTCTCTGACAAGAAGGCGGCGGCGCAGGGAGCTGCGCTGGTACGGGCCTCCAGCGACTCTTCTGACTGCCTCCTTTGGGTCATGGCTCCAGGCTTTTAGTATTAGGGGTTGGGGTTTTGAGGGGGTTTTGTAATTCTGTTATACTGCTGTTCCGACGAGTATAGGGACACTAGCTTTATTATGGGGTCCTTAGCAAATAGATTATCAAACTGCTGCTACTACGGCGTTACTACGATAATAAGGAACCCTACGGAGCAGTATTATCAGTTGCCCCGGCTTCTTCTTGTACGTTGTTTCGGCACTGGACCTGGGAGCCAATGCTCAGAAAGGAGGCTGTGTGATTCATCATGGAATACGCAGTAAATCTCCGCTGATATAAGTACTGGGTTTGCCCTCTGTTGCAGTATCCCGCATCGTAATCTTTATAGGAGACCTTATGGTACCCGAGAACCCTGCAGCAAACACCCGGTGCTCAGGTGCAAGTCCACCACGCCGCGGAGAAGTCGGAGAAGCAGGCGGAACTTGAGAAACCGGATCTTTTCGTGGTATTTCTCCAGGTATGACGGGGCAGACGGAGGCATGCAGTAGGCTCGAGCTTTCGTTTTCCCATAGCTGCTTGACTCAGGGTAGGGTTGATATGGGAGTTTAGGGCTTAAGGGGGGCACTACACGGACTTGTACGGTTTCCTCACGTCAGGTTCAGAAGTTCCAGTTTATAAGGTTATACTAAGTTACTAAGTGAGCCCAACGTCCTAGGGTCGGGGAACATTGAGTGCTGGGGGCAGTTGCGGTACCTCTCTCTTAAGAATCACAGCCGTGCTTTCTCAAGGTCTTTCCACATCCCACCCTGACCTACAAGAACCCCAAAGGAGTTGTATTCCAATTATTAAGGGTTCAGGGTTTAGGGTGTTAGGGTGGAGCCCAGCTTGTACCCAAAGTGTCTTCCTTGAGGAGTGGGGTTGGGGAGACGTTGACTTGTAGCTCGCGCTCGGGAGACCCCCCCAAAATACCGTCTGGTTCTTAGTAGGGAATGAGGGGGCTTTAGGGCCTTTAGGGTTTAGGGTTTTAGGGTCTAGGGTTTTAGGGTTTTAGGGTTTGGGGCTTTAGGGTTTTAGGGTTAAGGGTTAATGGGTTACGGGAACTATTATTGGGGATTATATAGGGACTACTGTAGGGATCCATTCCCCCATTACCTACTAAGCACCAGGCAGAATACTTAAAGGATTACGGAACTTAATCTGGACGTAGAAGGCTCCTAAGAGGGACTGAAGGATCATTTTCTTCGTAACTATAGGGCTAGGAATGAGGAACAAGACCACCCCAATTATATGGTACTTATAACCTCAATTACAATGTCCCGCGATCCTCGAACCCTCCATGAATAAGGAACACGGTTTTGAGGATCTAGGCGTGTACCTGAAGTTATACCAGGGTTCATCTTACACGTTCAGGGGTGTTCAATTCCTTAAGGACGTTGCAGAAGCCAAGAAAGATTCCACAAAGCCCTTTGACTCAAAGAGTATACTTTCAGCAATATTAGGGATTGTTTTCTGGATTGAATGATTTTTTGAAATTTTACAATCTAACCTAATCCCCCTAAACCCTAAAATCCGAAACCTTAAACCCTAAAATCCTAAACTCCTAAGCCCTAAACCCTAAACCCTAAACTCCTAAGCCCTAAAACGTGGAGGGTCTTAAGGATCCCTGAACTTCTCCAGGTGCCGAAGGCTCCAGAGCACACAGAGGACGCGTTTAGGGTGTACCTTTTAACGTTTGGGGCTTTGCGATTTTTTCAACAACAAAAGGGCTCTGGGATTTAGATTTTGAGGTTTTGGGTTTAGTTAGCGGTTTAGGGATCACCTTTTCCCAGAATCCCCTAATTTGGGGCCCAATACTACTAAGGGTACTGTATAGGAATCCCCATTAAGGGATCTACTTTTTGGATCCTCCCGGGGGTCTGGATTAGGGGTTTAGGGTTCACCTTTTAGGGCTTTGGAATTTAGATTTTAAACGGTCTTGGTTCCGGGGTTCACCTTTTAGTGCTTTGGGGTTAAGAGGTTTGGGGTTTAGGGTTCAACGGTTTAGGGCTTTGAATTTGGGGTTTAGATGTCAAGCGGTTTTGGGTTTCGGGTTCAACGGTTTAGGGCTCAGGGATTGAGGGTTGGAGAATTTTGGGTTTAGGGTTCAAGGCTTTAGGGTTTACACCTTTAGGGCTTAGGGATCTAGGGTTGAGCAACTTGGGGTTTAGGGTTCAAGGCTTTAGGGATCAACTTAGTCTTTATACTGTAGATCCCCAACAGTGTATATATAGTTGGCAAAGGACATGGGTCAAACTGTTGACTAATCACTTATCACATGGCATTTCTCATTCACTCACTAAGAAGTTTCTTGCGGCTTTGAGACCTTGGGGCTTTGGGCTTAATGTATGTGGAGCCTTGGTTGGCAAACCCACCTTCCTTAAGAGCTTTACACAGTAAGTCCTTATCAAGGGACGTGGGTTTATGAACCAGAAGCCTACAATTCTGGGAACCGAACAAAGCTCTATATCCTGGCTCATGGAATGGTCTCTGGTTTTGCTTGGCTGGTGAGTTCCCCCCGACCGTTGGCAATGTGATGTCAGACGATGGAGTGGTGTGGTCTTCTTGAAGATAGGCAAGACCTCTATGTCTATGGAACCCTGGAACAAAGGAACAAGCGTCGTGGCTCTGATGTCGTCGTACCGTCTCCGATGTCTGGTGGATTCTGGTGGACACAAAGCTACGACTTGAGTACGTGTGCCTGTGCCGCTGGTCGCTGCACACATGGAAATATGAGCAACTGTTATTCGGTGAACTTCACCGTCGCTTCCCGGACCTGATCGAGCTAAGTGCCGTGTGGAGCGACCAGAAGCCGAATCCCGGTCACATACCAAAGTTTGTGAATACCTATAAAGCACATGCCTTCGATGTCGTCGAGGAGTTGATGAAGGAGCTTGCCGCCCTCGACAAAGTTCAGGGCTTTGGGCTTACGGCCTAAGGCAGGGGTTTAGTTACTGTAGGGGCCTTCATAAATACCTATACTATTTTTGGGGGTCCCTTGTTATGACTGTAGTATAATATACCCCTAAACCCAAATCTAATTTTAAAGCTTTAAGGCTCGGGTTGCGTTTTGTCTGCCCTGAGACTCAGCGGGTCGTGGCCACATTTCCCGTGGCAGGGCTGCATTGTTGCACCTGTTGTTCCTAGCCTAGCTGTCGCCGCTGCGTCTCAACACAATTTGTTCTTCTCGGATGCCTTTGCATCGAGGTGATAATGGTGAGGATGGCTATCGAGATGTCGGCGATGATTCTGGAGACCATCACGGCGATTACGTCGGGGATGGTGGTCAGGGTGTGATGAGCATGGTGAATAACGGCGATGAAAATCATTAAGACGGCGAAGGCGAATATGAACATTATGATGAGTATGATGTTCATGAAGATCATTGTGGCCATGCTCTCGGCTGCAGTCGTGTTGCAGGAGACGACGCTGACACCTGTCTCGCCTGTGCGTGTGATCACATGCTTAATACAGGGGCCAAATAAATACCAAAACCTTTTGGGGGTTCCGAGAAAATCAGTATGGTACAAGACATGCCCCAACACCTTATTCCAGCTATGAATGCCCCAAAACACTACTCCAATTTATTAAGGCCCCCATATTATAGTATACCCTTATAGATCCCATACAGTACCCCTCATAAACCGCTTTATGAAGGCCCTGCATCAAGTCATGCTCACCTGAAGTGGTTTCCTTGGAGGCGGCCAAGCCTTTGCCCACTGTGCCGGCAGCGCACCCCTCGCAAGCAGTACAGGCCGGAGCAGGGTTTACCTTAACCCTGAAGAACCTACCTTTTCAGGGTTCCTTACTATGATTTCCTTATATAAGCCCTTAAGGAGGTAGGTACTTCAGGGCTAAGGTAGGGTTTATGGAACAGGGTTTTGATGGTGGAGTTTGTATGACTTTGGGGGCGAGGACTCGAGGACTAAAGGCGCATCTAGTGCGCAGAGAACTGCGCTTCGCGGGCGAAGACGTTGTTTTGCGATGATGATTTTTTCATCTCGGCCTTGAGCACTGATGATGATGACAATGGCAGTGGTAGTTGCGAGGAGATGGCAGAAGCATGTGGTAGGTGTTACACTCATCCCAGTCACTCGGGCTTACGTCGCCTAAGGCATGCTGCAATGCTTTTCTCGGGTTGGCCCGCGATTCGAAGCAGCCAAGGCATTGCCCACCGTGCTGTTAGCGAAGCCTTCGCAAGCAGAAGAGGTTGGCAACAGCTGTGTTTACTCACAGGGTGTGCGAGTTTGAGTTTTCGGATGTATCATAGTTTTTACGGTGTAGAGGTTCCGTTGAAGAGGTTGCTTGGAGGTTCATGGCTGGTATTATAGGGTAAGTATACTTATACCCAATATTAGGGGACTTATAACCACTTATAACTACGCATGAACCTCCACGTGTGGTTCATGAAGATGCGCGGGGGTTGCGGGAGCCAAAGGCAGCTAAAAGGGGTTTCATGGTCCGAGGCGTGTTTCTTGGTGCGGACCCGATGCTTATTTATGGTCAAGCGACGGAAAGGATATTACGAGAAGCGGTCCCTAAACCCTAGACCTTTAACCCTTAATCGTTAGACCCTAAACCCTAAACCCTACAGCCTTAGAGCCTAAATCTCTACTGCTGGAGGTTTGCACTCGTCAAACTCCCTAAACCCTAAACTCCCAAAGATTCGCTTCGAACCTCCGGCGAAAGGATCCCGAACTCGCTGTCGCAGAAATGAGGAATGTAATATAGGTGCCTTAATAATCAGGGTAGGCCTCCTTTTAAGGGGATCTAATTTTAAGGGATACTATAAGGCTCCTGTAACTGTAAGGGTATTGTAATACGGGACCCTCAACAAATTAGAATAGGGTTTTGGCGCCCGTTATACTATGATTATAATAATGATCCTCCAAAAGGAGTATTGGTAATTATTAAGGCCCCTCTATTAGCCAACACCCTGTTTGGGTAGAAAAAACCCGAACAGCTGGACAGGTAAGTAGAAGTTGATCTTAGGTTTCAGGGTAATGTGACTGTGGGGTTGCGGGGTTTAGAATTTAGGGTTTAGGCTTAGTGTCCAAGCCAAAGGCTTGACCTCGGAGGAACGGTGGTGATTGGCCGATAAAATTCGAAGTGGGGGTTGAGAAGAAGCATGCTGGGGCAGAAAGCTTCCTTCTTTCTGTTTCGGGGATTGGGATTCGTTGGGACCCCCTGTTCCAGTACAAACATACTACTATGTGCCCAACCAAGGCTGTGACGGGCCCGGAAGCCAAAAACACCCAGAAGCTTTAACCCTACATGAGCTTAAACCCCAAGACCCTTAACCGACATCGGGGCTCAAGGGGGAAGGGTTTTCGTCTTGTACCCAAGCTCAAGCTCATCAAAGAAGGCTTACATGGGGTTTAGGGTTTAATAAGGGCCTAAACAGTTGCCAATTCTATGCCTCAGGGGTCCTTGCTATAGCTATTCCATACTGTAGTTGTTTACGGCTTTTGCTTTGCATCTAGGGTCTTGATGTTGAGATTGGAAATAAGGTTTAGGGGTACAGGGGCATTCGAGGAGTTCACAAAAAAGGGGGTTTCCGACGGCATCGGGTTGCGTCTTAGGAGATTGGTATATTAAGTTTGTACCGCGAAACCCAATCCTAATTGCAAGAACCTCATAAGGCGAGGCATGAATTTGATTCCGGGTTTCTGAAACGCGAACGGGCCCGTCGCTGAGCCAACAAAAGCCGCCCAAACTATCTTGGGGTTTAGGGTTATTGGGAAGGGGTCCGCATTGATATCGGCCCCCTGGTTAATGAACCCTGCCGCTTTCACAGGGCTTATAGTAGGGTAAGATCAAGGCCATTACCCTAATCCCCAAACCGGTGTTGGTCTACAATACGATTCAGCCGTGAACAGATGGCCCACAGCTATGGCCCCCACGGCTGTGTGTTGAACCCAGTGCCTGGCGTTTTGGGTTTAGGTTACAGGGCTGTGGAGATTCAATGTTTGTGATTGGTAAGGGGCTTCAGCTCAAATGCCTTCGGGCCGGGCTCAGGGTCAAAGTCGATTTGGCTGGAAACACAAAGTCTGGATTCCTGGTGATTCCCCTATGAAGAACCGGAGTTCTGAAGGCTGGATTGCAAAACACTGAACCCAATGGCCTCGAAGACGTAGCTGTGTGTAGCAACAAGTAGCGAGTGGTGGTGGTGGTGGTGGTGGTGGTGGTGGTGGTGGTGGTGGTGGTGGTGGTGGTGGTGGTGGTGGTGGGTGGTGGTGGTGGTGGTGGTGGTGGTGGTGGTGGTGGTGGTGGTGGTGGTGGTGGTGGTGGTGGTGGTGGTGGTGGTGGTGGTGGTGGTGGCAGCAGCAGCAGCACTAGCAGTAGCAGTAGGAGTAGGAGTAGGAATAGGAGTAGGAGTAGGGGTAGGGGTAGGGGTAGGAGTCGGAGTAGGAGGCAGGAGCAGGAGTAGGAGTAGGATCTATTTTGCTTGGTATTCGCAGCACTTTCGTCATGAAGCCTCGCAATCGACTTGTCGAGTTTGCATGCTCGAGCTTCGGATTTTGGAGGGGGCGCATGGAGAACGACGTTGCTACGAAGACGGCGGTAGCAGTGGCGATACCAGAGACAGTAGTAGTAATGGCAGTAGTAGCAGCAGCAGTACATGTAGCAGTCGTACAGGCGGCAGCATTGGCAAAAGTAGTAGCCGTAGTAGCTGCTGCAGTAGCAGCGGGAGTATGAGCCAGCTTCTCAGCAAGTATCATTCGGGCCACCGCTGCAGCAAACGGATGGAAATTCTCATGACAGAAACAGCAGAGGATGGAATGGATGATATGAAGCTATGATGCGACATGGAAACACCAAGCATACACATCTACATAGTTCAAGGCCATGTGATGAGAAATCACCAGCTGAAATCAGGGAGGCCAACGAAGGTGATAGATCCTGGTGCTGACCATTAAAACTATAGATTGGTGGTCACAGCACGGTTGCAGTCGCAACCATTTGCGTCAGTCCTGCCAACACCAGGTTACTTGGGGTTTATATCAGAAACCCGTACTTTTTTGAAGCCTTCACTTGGCTCTAAACCACCGCCCCTAACTTCCTAAACCTGTACATATACCCTAAGCCCCAAACCTGTAACACTGTAAATGCATGCTGGGCCCCAGGTGAAGACTTTCCTCGCCGAGAAAAGTCGAACCTGCACTCCAGACTGCATTTTTGGGGTTTAGGGTTTGGTTGGGGGTTTGTGTATTCGATCAGAACTGGGGGAGTGGAGGGTTTAACTAAGATGTTAGGATCCACGCGTCGCTTAGGGGATCAGGGGGTTTGGTGAGTTTAGCCAGTAGATTTATGTTAAGAACGATCGTGCCTTGTGCTCTCTGAGCCTGGGCCCTGGCTGGCAAGTTGCCGTGTGTCACTGGTTAGCTACTTAGCCGTCTTGGCAGGTTAGGGTTTAGGGTTTAGGGTTTAGGGCAGGTTAGCGCAAAGAGCCTCAGACCACGTCTCAGCCTTGCGAAGTTAGGTCTCACCTGTCATACGGTGGCAGCCAGTAAATGTCTGCGACCGCTTTGCTGAGCCTGCACACTGGCAAGCCTGCACTGTTAATCTTAGCTTTCGTCCCAGTCACTCCTCCCCAAGTAGTAATGTAATTGTTGTGTTATGTTATGTCGTGTATTTATTTATGTATGTATGCGTGTGTGTATGTATATATGCATGCGTGTAAGTATATAATGTAATGTAATGTAAGGTCTTGTAACGTAATGTAATGGAATCCATTCGTTTTTGGGCTGTCCGAGATGCAAGATTTGAAAGGCTTAACCCTACATTGGGGTTTCGGCGTTTGTTTCCAGGAGTTCGGGCTGAGGGAAACTTTGTACCACCCCGTAAGAGGGGGACACCGCCCTAAGCCGGAAAGCGCCGAACAACACCTCACCACACCTCCATCTGAGGTATCGTCAAGACGGAGTGTTCGATGTCTCCAGGCCGTCGTCGCTTTTGTGGTCGTGTTCGTCGTCGTAGGTGTAGCGAGTACAGAAGCCACTGGCATTAGTACTATCAGTTGCAGTGGTGGCAGAAGAAGTTGCAGCAGTAGTAGTAGTAGTAGTAGCAGCAGTAGTAATAGTAGTCGTCGTAGTAGTAACCATTAGTAGTACAAGTAGAAGAAGCAGCGGCAGTAGTAGCAGGAGTAGTAGTGGAAGTAGTAGTAGCAGCAGCAGCAAAGCAGTTGCCGTGGCCGTATCAGCAGCCAGCAAGACCAGAACGTGTAATGTCAGGCTTCATATTGCTTGAACAAAAAAGGCCGGTGGCCGCAGCTCCTGCAGGAGTCGTCTCTAGAACATGTAGGCTTCATAGCAAAGGGGACTTCTGCAAGTCTTGTCCTCATGTTGAGGTCACCATGTTGCAGCCTTGCCCGCCGTAGGATTCGCCGAGTTTGACATGGGTTTCCGATGCGCCTTGAGCCCAGGATTTGCTCGGGCAATTGGGAAGTTAGGCTTTTGGGGTCTCGGTGGCTCGGAGCTTCTTATCCGACCGTCGGGACGGCCTAGCGTTCTACACTGACAACTACGTGATGACTCGCACGACGCCTCGTCGGATTACGATGTCCCTAAACCCAAATGGGCCTCAGAAGCCGTGCCTGCGTCAGCGAGTGTGCGAGTCGAAACCCAAAGGCCCTAAACCCGTAAGCCCGAAGCCCGGGTCCTTACACCCTCAAGGCGTCCGCTAGCGACGGCTCCGACGACTCCACGGCCCCTCCTGGCTTTTTACGGCTTGGGTTAGGGTTTGGGGGTTTAGGGTTTCGGGGGTTGAGGTTTTAATGTTTTCGTTGAAGGGGGGTTTAGTGGGTAGTTATAAGGCTCCCTTTAAAGGGGTCTATAGAGATTCTATAAGGGTATAGGGTTTAGGGCCTACTTGGAGGTTCATGGGATAAGTCCCCTAATATCGGTTATGCGTTTAGTTGCCCTACTTATACCCCTACTTACAACTCCCCATGAACCTCCAAGTATAGGGTTCACGGTTTAGTGTTTTCGTTGGGGGGGGGTTAGTGTTTAGGGTTTTGTTGCGGGGAGGCTAGGATTTATGCGCAGGCTTCCCGAAAACCTGCAACATCCAACGCAAAAGCCGCGAGGCCACAACACCACCGAGAAACAGAAAGCCCCACCTGTGCCCAAAACCCCAAACTTCTGAACACCCCACAACCTTATTGGGTTCTTATGCTCATAAGGTAGTCGATTCTGAAAGTTTCAACTTTTATTTCCTTGGGTTTTGGGGCAGTGAGCGACCCAAGAATCCGACAGCCTCGAAGCTCGAGAGGGTGTTGACGACTGATAAGGGTTTTTTTCTGGGATATCCGGGGAAGTACTATCCTAACTTTGGCTTAGGGGCTTCTTTGTGGCCCTATTTATGCATTTGGAGTTTGGGGAGGCGCCTTAGGCCCTTTGAACGCTGTAAAATCACACGTGAAGAAGACTGGAAAGCCCTTTCCAAAGCTATTGTAGCATGCCAACAGACCCTACTTGGAGGTTCATGGGTAGATATATAGTAGGGTTATAAATAGGGTAACTATATACTTATCAACATTAGGGGACCAACCCCGCTTATAACTACCCATGAACCTCCAAGTAAACCCTTAAACAACCCCTTATACAGCCCTCCAAACCCTTTGAAAGCCTCTACAAGGCCCTGCATACAACAGTCCCAAGAAGTCCGAAATCCCGCAAAAAACTACGTAATCTAATCCCACAACCCTCTGTGATTTCAGAGTGGTTACGCTGTTAAGCCTTGAGCCAGAAACCGAAAAAATCTGAAATCTCGGGAGGCAGTGGTTCATCTTTTCGGAGCCAAGTCCTTCGCCGCGCAGGCCTTTGGGACGTCAAGTCGGGTTTAGACCAATATAGGGTTTATAGGCTTTATGTAGGGTAGAGGGTCTATGGTTTATTCCTTGGGATGAAAGCCGTGCTGTATGCCTTGTTGTGGGAATTTTTGCTGTGAGTGTTTCTTTGCTGCGGGTCCGGGGCATCTTTTCTTTTTGCTGTGGGTTCGGGGCCACGTTGTTCTTTTTGCTGCGGGTGTGTGGGCGCGTGCTTTTTCCGTTGCTCTGGGTACGGAGCCTTTTTTTGAGAGGTAAACACAGAAAAAAGCACCCGCCACAAAAACAAGCACTCTAACTGGGTTTGGGGCTGCAGGGATGCAGGGTTGAGGGTAATTATAATTATTGACAATGAGGATTAAGCTCTATTCAGGGTTTCATGGGCCCTATTCTAGGGTTTGTGGCTTGCATCAGGTGTTGAGCTTAGGATCCCTAAACCCTACTTGTTTTGAGGGTTTAATGAGTTGTTGGTCCTGTGGTCTGAATAGTTTTAGTCGCTTTTCGAGTTGGGCGTTTGCGGGGTACCTGCAGGAGACCTTTGATACCAGGGGTTCCTTGTTATAGTTATAGTATAGTTGTAGTATAATGGGCTTCAAAACCCTATTCTAAGTATTTAGGCCGCTATACTAAACCCTGATACTAGCCTTATAGTATCCCTTGACGGAACCCGTTAAAAGGAAGCCTATAGCACCTGCAGGAGACCTTTGATACCAAGATCGGCTGCGCAAAGTGCTTGCCTTTGGAGGACCTGCACGAACTCCGAAAAATCTGGGAATGGTTTTGATTTCGAGTTTAAGGGTTTTAGGGCTTACGGGTTTAGGGTGTAGGGGTTGTAGGGTTTAGCGGTTCAGGGTTAACAGATGCATAGACACATGTGTAGAAGGGCTTCGGCCACCGTTTGGGGTTCAGGGGTACGATCTAGGGTTTAGGGTGGCTTGAGAGTTCGACGCGACAAGGGCCAGATCTACGCACTTCTGGCCGAGGCCTTAACTTGGGAGGTGGCAGGGTGATGACTGCTTGCTCCTTCAGTTGCAGCATCTCCTGTCGTAGAAAGGGCTGAGGCTGTGAATCTAGTACTCCCTTTCGGAGGTGCCTGGAGGAACACAGGTCAAGCACAAAATCTTGAATGTCGGTATTCGGGGGTGCCTTGCAAAAATGCTTTGAAAGAGCCCTACAGAGCCGGTCATAGCCGGTCCAAGCGTCACGCATGGACATACCACTGAAGCAAGTCCCAAACAAGCAAAAATAGCAGTAGCAATGAGGTATACTGGATGATAGGTCAGGGCTCCAGACCACTAGTAATTAGCAGTGGCAGCAGTCGTAGCGGGTAGTAGTAGCAGTAGTAGTAGTAGTAGCAGGAGGAGCAGCAGCAGTAGTCACCGTAGTCGTAGTAGTAGTAGTAGTAGTAGTAGTAGTAGTAGTAGTAGTAGTAGTAGTAGTAGTAGTAGTAGTAGTAGTCGTAGTAGGAGGAGCAGCAGCGGCAGCAGTGAAAGCTGCAGCCGCAACAAGCATCTGTGATACAAACGTGAAAAGCAGGCATGAGGCGAAATCGAAGACTCCTGTCTCAAGCCCTTGTGTCTGCTAGGACAAGCACCAGACGGCTTGGGGCTCAGCAGTGGGTGCTTCTTCTTTTGATTTGTGGTTTAGAGTTTGGGGTTCAGGGTTTAGTGGGCTTACGGGTTTGGGGTCTAGGGGATAGTGGAAGCAAGACCAGCCACTTCCCGATTTGGGCTGCTTCATCGACGCATCCCAAAGCAATGAGCGAACGAAGTCTGAAGCCGCGGAGGCTTCCCAGAAGGCCCAAGAGCCCCGGCGAATCCACAAGCTGAGTTTGACCATGGGGTACTTAGAGGATCATGGGACTTAGTAAGTAGGATACAATTGTCCCCTAAGTATTATAATCTACTTATAACCTTACTTACTAAGTCCCATGAGCCTTCAAGTATGGAAGAAAGTAGACGTCATATTTAGAATCCTATAAGGAGATCCCAAAAAGGAACTAGTATGGAGCCTCTGGGTAGGCGGGGTCTGGCATCGGGTCATCACACGCTCGACGTCGAGCTGGGGAACCCCGCCGACCAGAAGGAGAGCTGAGAGGATCGGCCGTATGTAAATACTTGAAGGCTCATGGGACTTACTAAGTAAGGTTATAAGTGGGCTATAATTAGGATACCCCCACTTAGGGGACTTATAACCCGAATTATAACCTACTTACTAATTCCAAGGATCCTTTAAGAATCCAACATCAGGAAGCCTCAGAAGGGCGGCCATGGTGGGTAAAGGACCTGGTTGAACCACGTTCATGTTGAGCCTGTTCGTTGCAGCAGCGCTACTGTCCGTTTACAAGAGGACGAGCCTGTGGGTTATGTTGGAAATTTGGAGACCTACAACTGCACCCAGGTCTCGATTTGATTCAGGGTACTTCCCCCGGTTCTGACGGTTTGTGCAAGGTTTACGGGGTCTTGCCGAGGTGGGCGGGACACCGGGGGCGGCACTAAGGCACCTTCCGCCGATGAGCACCCCCCCCTCGCCCGTATTCCTTCCGTCAGGGCGACAGTGCCACACCTCATTCTTACTCTTAATCCTCCTCCTTTCACTTCCTTCGCTCACTAGCTCATTCAATTCGCACGTCCTCGCCTTGCCCTATTGCCATGCTCGCTCGTGCCCCCGCTCCTCCTCCTCCTCCTCCTCACCCTGTTGTCCTGTGAGGTCAGTCGTCTCGTCTTGATCGGACATGCACATGTTGACCGCTGTGCCTGATGCATTGTCTGGAGCTTGTAGTCGCAAACCCATGTACCGGGATCCTCTTTCCTTCTCAAGTCTTGGATACATTGCCTCACGTTTTTACTTTTCGTCGACTTCGCTCCGTGGCCGCAATGGACCCATCTTGGCAAGAGGATGCCCGCCGCGCGCTGCGCATGGGGCTGTTACTTGCCGAGCGCAGCATCCACGCGCTGCTCCCTCCGGCCGGCCTTGCAGAGGCTGATGCCGGCCATCCATCTACTGGCACGGCAGCGCCATTGTCAGCTCCGCAGGCCCTGCGCCCCTCAACACCAGCAGGTCTTCCTCGCCCTCCACGCTGGCCGGTTCGGGCTCCTTCACCACTGGAGCCTGACAACCCGGGGCTCAGCCCACGGCCAGCGGTATGTAGAGCTGACAGCCGCAATCCTCTCCGTGTTCGTCCTCAGCGTGCTCGGGTTCGTGGAGTAACACGGGCGGGTCTGGCCAGCGCCCACACTGGGCATCCTTCTGCTCGTGCTCGTCCCGCCCCGCATCCACACCCAGTGCGTGCTGATCCCGACCGCTATCGTCCTGCACCTCCCAGACTCGCTACGGGAGCCATTGGTGCAGCTACGCTTGACGGCATCAATCGGGACATCGCTGGTGGTCCTCCATCACCTCGTGCTCGAGCTGGCTCCGGTCCACCTCCGGCACGGTCCCGTATGCCATCGTCTCGCACTTCGCTTCCGCGTGGAGGCCGTGGCCCCTCTCGCTCGCGCAGTGTCCGCCGGACACCGAACACCAGGGCCACACCTTCCAAACCAGGGCTGATGCCAAAGAGGGCGGCTCGCCCGTCCAATGGTGGCCACGCTTCCCGGAATTCTGGCACTCCAAGCCGGCCAGCACCGCTCACCGTATTTCGGTCACATGCGGCACCTGCCGGGACGACCCTCAAAGGCAAGCCCAAGGGAAAGCGTGCGATTCACACCACCTCGGTTAGCCCTCCCTCGCCGGCCACTGTGCAGCTTGCGGCCTCGCCCAAGTTGCGCTTGCCGGCAGGGCTACACATCGTCGGCTTACCCCGGCGCCCCAACCTCAGCCAACTGGAAGCCTTGTTGAGCCATGTGGCGGAGCTCTCGCCTTCACTCGCTGGTTTAGAGCCCAGCTTCCAGCTCGCACAAACCAGGCGAAGCTCCCACAAGATACCGGCGTTCTTCCTGTCGCACGCCGCGTTCGCCATACCAGGTCTTGCCGGCCGCATCTTGGAAGAGATCCAGCCAGCAGCGGGAAAGGATAAGCGAGGTCGCACCAAGCTGGCCTCTCCGGTAGGTACCCTCAAAATTTCGCTCGCCCAGCAAGCCGTGCCACCAGCGCTACCTGCCCCAATTGACGACCTGACAGGGAACGTCGCCCCAACCAACCCAACCTCTTCGTGCCCAGCTACGGTACCCAACCCACCCGACGGCTCTGGACCTTCCATCTTCAAAGGACTCCGCCTGGTCGAGTTCACAGCGGGCACATTGGAGGAGGGCTGGACATGTGTTTGTTGCCGGGGTGACATCCTCGCGTGTGACAAGCTGGTGCGGCTGGAGTGCCTCCACGTCGTACACTCTGACTGCCTCGAGCGTTGGCTTGAAGCACCTCGCTCTCGGGGCCGTTGCCCGGAGTGTAATGAGATGGTGCTCTGAGTGCGGCCGGGCCCTCTCTGCCATCGAGCATGGCTTTTCTCAGAAACTTGAGGCCGCAGTTGTATAGGTTCTCCCGCCTCTCGCAATTTGTTTTTTCGGTTCACCCCGCTCCGCATTGCAGGTCCTTACCGCAGAAAGGCGTTCTTCCGCAGTAGCCCGCCTTCCGTAGGCAACGGTGCTGTTTTCAATGCCTCTATGCACCAGTAGTAGCGCATGCTGCGCCCGTCCGGCGGGCATTTAGGCTCCAAACTCGCCCAGCAGCAGGGCACCCACTCCTCGAGCATGGATCTTCTTGACGATGGCGGGAGCTCCTCCTCATCTGGCGCCGACACACCTCGCCACGAGGTGGATGGTGCTGAGGCGCGCTTGCGCCTCGACGTGGGGCAACGCCATCCCATGCCAGACATCGTCGGGCAATGCCTCGGGGATGACATCACGTGGAAAGGCTCCAAAACTCTTCGGATCGCGACAATCCAGTGTGGCAGCACGGGTCGAGATCGATTCCAGTGGGGCCTATGGCATGGTCAAGGTCTGCGCACCCTGGGGGCTGATGTCGGAATTCTGTCGGAAACTGCCCTCCAGGGAGATGCACAACATGCCCAGGCCTGCCAAGGCCTCCTCTCGTGCGGTTACCACGCTGTCAGTCACGGACGTCCTCGCAACGGCCCTGCAGACTATGCAGCTGCTGGGTCAGGTGTCATCCTCGCCGTCCGTTCAGGTTACTCGGGTAGCTGGACGGATGTAGCCAAAGACCCATCAGGTCGGGCTGTCTCGGCCGTCCTGCACACTAACAGTGGCATTGATGTTCGGTTTCTCGCGCTCTATGGTCCTGTCGGTGCTTGTCTCCCACAATTCGGCGTAGGAAGCCCGCAGCACATTGCGGATGAACAGGCCCTCAAAGACTTCATAGACCAACAAGCGCACAAAGCCGGTGAGCTGCAACAGCTGCTTGTGGTCGGAGGTGACCTCAACTCCTTTGCCGATGTTGATTTGGACAGCTGGGGAGGACATTATCTCGTACGCCAGTCAATAGCCTCCCACTGCGTCGCATGTGGTCTTCAGGACATGTTCAGGTCCCGTCATCCCCGCCTGAGAGCTTTTACCTTCTACTCTCAAGCCGGCTCTGCCAGCCGTCTTGATTCCATATGGTGGCTGCCCTGCCCACAAGTAGAAGTTCAGCTCCTCAACGCAGCCATCCTTTGGCAGTGGGACCGTAGAGTTGACCATGATCCGGTGCTAGTGGACCTCGCATTGCACCTGCCGGAGACGGCGATCTCCCAATCTATTACGCCACCGTGGCGCAGCTTAGTCCGTAGGCTGGATGGGGATCTTCCAACCTCCGTTGCAATGAGAGCCGAGGAGCACTCACACCAAATTGCCCAGCTTGCAGCTGAGTTGAACGCTCTCGAGTCCCAGTGGCATACGATCCAACAACCGGCTTCGGAAGGGTTGGACGGTTTCTTAGGGGCCCCAGCTCTCACGGTGCCTGATTGTTTTCAGGACCGTTTAATCGGTGCCGTGGATGGTGTCATGTCAGTGCTCCTTTCTTGCCTCCCCCCCGTGGCACCCCCTGTAAACAGGCGTGACTGCCGCGCTGCTGCGGCATGGCATGCGTGCCTCCTTGAACTCAAACGAGTCCGG